CCCCACTGTGCGCAGGAGAAGTGCATGGACAAGCCGGGTCCGAAGTTGGACAGCCGGGCCGAGACGTGCTTCGTGAACTGCGTGGAGCGCTTCATCGACACAAGCCAGTTCATCCTGAACCGGCTGGAGCAGACGCAGAAGTCCAAGAAAAAGCCTGTCCGACTGAGCGGGACCCGCGCCCTGGGGGGGCGCTGGCCAGCCCCCCTCCACAAGGCCAGGCCCTCCACCGCACCGGCTCCTGGTCACTCTGCTGCCTGAATGAGCCAGGATCAGCTCTGGGGTTTAGGATTTAATTAAATGCCAGTCTCGGGGAAGTTGCAGCCAGATGAGAGCCCAGGACAGAGGCACAGTCGCTCCTCCTCAGGGTGCTGTGCTGCTCCCGGCCCCACGGGCCAGCAGCCATCTTTGTGCTGGGACTCGGGCTACCAACACTGCGCAGCACTTGGAATGCACCTGCTTACACCACAGAGGGGTGGTGATGCTCGAGTCAGGGGGTGCTCCCAGCGCTGATGTGAATCTCAGGTCTGGGCGAGGCCAGCCTGTGACTGCTGCCTTAAACGGTGCTGCACAAAATGAACCCTCCTGGGTAGATGCTAACAAGCCCTGCAGGTGCCATCACTGTGCAGTCCGGTACGAGTACCCCTAGAGAGTAGAGCTTGTTGGGCACAGCGATCATCCCAGGCAGTGTCACTACTGGAAGATACTTTCAGGCTTCCATAGGTAAATCATTCATGTGGCCAAGTGATTTTCAAATTGCAGCACAACTCTGTCAGTACTGACTTGCTCCATTAACTGCTTTCCCCTGGTCAATGTAATAAATATTAACTGGGTCAATTTTTAACCTGAGATTCTCCTTTGTTCAGGTAGATGACCACTGAGAATTGAAAATCTGGCCTTCTTGTCACTCCCCTTCCTTCCCAGTGATCCTGTTTATTGCAAAATTAGTAGGGAGGGGACATAATTGTCTTCTGGCTAGAAGGTCTGCTCTGATTTCTGATTTTTTTTCTGAATTAATTTGGTTCCATGAATCAAACTTGTTTCTGGGAGAGGCTGTGGCCTTTCCTCCTCTTCCCCAAAGGGTTAACAGCTCCTGCTGTCCTGTAAAGGAGTAGTTTCTTGAGAGAGACTAAATGCAGGAAATAAGTAACCAGCTACTTTATAACTTCATGCACCTTCACCTGTGGAGATCACTGGACAGAGGCCTATGGTTGTGTCTTCTGGATGTCTGCCCCCAGGACACGGAGAGGAGTGTCTAACTGGATGTCATGATTTAACCCGGCAGGTAGCTAAACACCACACAACCGCTTGCTCATTCCAACCCCTGCCCCAGCCCAGTAGAATGGAGTAGAGAACTGAAAAAAAAAAAGGTAAAATTTGTAGGTTGCGATTAAAGACTGTTTAAGAGGACAGAAATGGAAGGGGAAATAATAATAATAGTAATAATGATAAAAGAATTAAATATACAAAACAAGTGATGCACAATGCAGTTGCTTATCACTCGCCAACCGATGCCCAGCCAGTGCCCAAGCAGCGGCCCCCAGCCAATTTTCCCCCCTAGTTTCTATACTGAGCCTGATGTT